ATTGTTGCAAAGTGAAAGCTGTCAGTCCAAGCACACTCAGAAGAAGGATGAGGCTGTCTACTTTCTTAAAGGTTCACATTCTTTAAATCCAAGGGAGCATCTAGTTCTAATCTGTCTTTAAAAAATCTCAATGAATCAAAATGAATGACAGTAACTTCGTTGTGTGGCAGGGACTGTTATTTCTGGATGGGAGTTTTTGTGTTTGTGTGTTATTTTAATCTTGCTTAATCTTCACTCACTAAAATCTGACAAGTAACATGATCAATGTTTTACAGATAAGAAAAAATAATTTGAAAGCTTTTGTTATTACCTAAAACTACATATCTAATATGGAGTAGATTCATGATTCAGAACTAATTCTCATAAGTTTCACAGCTTCACAACCGTCATGTTATAACTGTGCTAGAAGTAATTATAAAAATAACAGATCTTCTAGAAGTAGGTAGAATGATGATATTAGAGTGTGAAGAATATTAAAGTGAAGTACACATCTATCTAATTTCAAAATTATCATTCTGGCGTCTAAAAAACTGCCATTCAAACTCAACCAACAGTGGCATGTCAATAGATAATGAACAAAATTAAATCTCACCCACTCAGTCACAACAACATCTACTATTTTGCCCATATTTAGGAAATAGCATAGTGTTTCATGAGCATCCCTGAAATGTCTCCTGAGGGACATATTTTGTCATTGGGATGCTAGCCCAACAAAATAAACAGATAATCATGACATCATATTGTGAGCCCAACGAATAAAAGATAAAGATCCCCTACTTCTTTGCATGTATTAATTATTCTTCTCACACAAAATTAATATGGAATATGTAAGCTTACCTGCTGCTTGGAAAATAAAAGTATTGGCAATTCTGAGTGTTGAGTCTTAGATCTTTAATTCTACCAGAGAAAATGATAAAAATCCTATCAGAGAAGCTTTCTTGTCGATACTGCTCAGAAGTGTCCTTTGAATTGCCATTTACCCTGTGCCAAAGTCAGGTTCCTTATTTATGAGATAGATTAAATATTATTACCACTCCCATTTACTTCACAGAATTGTGGCTGTGAAGAGTAAATGAAGGAAGGTCTATAAAACAGCTCAGTAAAAATCATCATTTTAACCACATTCAATGTAGTATTTATCTTAAGGGGTTTTTCCTGACTGTGGTTGCTGGCTCAGAGCAAATCTCAGTTTTGAGGATATCGATGGCACTTGTACTAACTCTTCACATGGACAGGAGTAAATACATGACCAGAAGGCCTTTTCACAGTCTGGGACCTCTACTATGATGCCAAACAGGATCCCACTGGAATTTCATAAATGGGAACGAACAGAGAATTGCAGAGGGGACATCTCAGGGGAAAAGACTCCCTATGAGGAAAAATATAGATCTTTCTACTAATACCTAAGGATGAGATCATTAAATTGCCTGGAGAAAACCTGTTTGGTTTGTTGAATAAGCACATAGGTGTAGGTATATTTGCATTGTTTGTTGTCATTTCATTTATGATAGTTTTAATGTAAGCTTAATTTGTGAATCATAAAATTCACACGTTTTAGTACACAGCTCAGAAAGTTAGAACAAATGAAAATGATCATGTAAGCATCTCCATAATATGATAAAGAACAGTTCGTTAGCTCCCAAAATTCCTCTGTGCTGGATATAAAGTGCAATTACCATGATAGTATGCAAACACAATGATCTAAGTCCGTCCTACTTTGATGAGTAGCCACTGGGGTCTTAAAAGCTCATGATCAGCCATCTAAAGTGGAACTATGACAATTTTCTCTGCAGATGAAAGAAGAGTGAAGAACATGGAAGATGCATGGGAGCAATTAGTCCAGTGGACTAAGGGACCATGCAAATATTAGTCTTCACAACCCTTAGACAAGTAAATCCAAAAGGTTCTAGGTTTAACACTACCAACTGATCTGGAAGGGCATCACATTAGACAGTCCTGGATAGAATGGGAGAGTAATGTGGAACAAAATTCAAAAGCATAAAGAACACCAGGCTTACTTATCAGATAAATATTGGCAGACTGTGAACCTTAGTCACCATTCCATTCAAGACTGGAAATAAACTCAACATCCTGACTCAATTTTTAGCCACATAACAGGTCTATATAATGAATAATAGCAGCAGGAAAGTACACCCACCTCTGGACAATCAACCATTCAAGATAAAAAAGGCAGTAAAGTTCAGAATACAGGGAGCATTAGGAATGAAGGAGGAATGGGGACCAGATATGGGAAGGAAGTGGGACAAATTATGTTACATTATTGGGATTGAAAACTGACATAAAACAAATTGTGTAG